GGACTCCTGGGTCTGAGGGAGGAGGGGCTGGGGGTCTGGACTCCTAGGTCTGAGGGAGGAGGGGCTGAGGGGGCCCGGACTCCTGGGTCTGAGGGAGGAGGGGCTGGGGGGCCTGGACTCCTGGGTCTGAGGGAGGAGGGGGCTGTGGGCCCAAGACTCCTGGGTCTGAGGGAGGAGGGGCTGGGGGTCTGCGTCCTGAGGAAAGCAGTCAAAGGGGTCCAGACCTTGGATTCCCCAGGGAGCCCCTGGCTGGGACCTCACGATTGGGGCGGGGTTCAGATTGAGGGGGAGAGAAAGTTGAGAAGCAGCACTAGCTCTGGAGGGGTGAGTGTGGGTTACGCGTGCTCTTGAGGTCCCCGGTGGGGAAGAGGACCCTCAGCTAACTCCCGACCCTTCCTTCCCAGGGCAAATTCATCCGCATCAACTTCGACGTGGCTGGGTACATCGTGGGTGCCAACATTGAGACCTGTATCCTCACATAGCCCCAGGGGGCACCTGGTGGCCGAGGAGGGTGGCCCTTGGGATCTCACTGCTTCCAGGAAACAGGTGTTCACACACATGGGGAAGCCTGGCTCCCTGATGTTCAGAAGCCGTGCCTCAGTTTCCCCCCCTGTGGAAGGGAAAGGAACCTGGGAGGGCATAGATGCAGCGCCCCCCAGTGGAGGGGGCGGCCCGACGGCCGTGGCCTTGCCGTGGGGCCGTGGCACGGCTGTGGTTTACCACAGAGAGAGGATACAAAGCACAGGCCGCAGAGGGAACAGGCACGTGGGGCCAAGTGTGGGGGAGACCAGGGCCAGCTTCCAGAGTCCCCTCCCCGTGGAGTCACACAGGACGGGCAACGAGACGTGACAACACGTGTGAGACGTTGTCCATCAGGGACGCTTGTTAGAGCCTCCTCAGCACCCCGGGGCTTTTCGTGGGGGCCAGTCACGTCAGCGCCCTCGGCCTGGCACTTACCAAAATTCCAGACTCCCCGAAGGAAAGCAGGTGTTCAGCAGAAACCACGTTGTTTGCACCAACAGCTTAGGCACAGGGCGCCCCTCCTGGCGGTCAGGGAGTGCTGGGAACCCTCCCGAAATCCAGCTTTGCAGACGCCGGGCAGCCGCGGGCAGCGTGGGAATAGGCCGTCTCAGACCTGTGGTATCAACCCTGCTCTGCGCGGGCAGCATGCAAGCTCAGTAGGAACTTACTTATTTTTTAAGATTTTATTTATTTAGGGCGCCTGGGTGGCTCAGTCGTTAAGTGTCTGCCTTCGGCTCAGGTCATGATCCCGGGAT